GGGGGGGCTGGGGGGCACAGGGGGCACATGGGGGGGCTGGGGGGCACAGGGGGCAGAGCTGGGCCGGGAGGGGAGCATTGAGGGGGGCACTGGGGGGTGAGAGGGTGTGGGGACAGTGCTGGGAGAGCGGGACGGGACAGTCCTGGGGCAGCGAGGAGCAGCTCCTGGTGCCCCCTGTGCCACCTGTCCCTGTGCCAGCACAGGCCCTGTGCCCCCGTGCCCCCTGTGCCACCACAGTTCCTGTGTTCCTGTGCCACCTGTCCCTGTGTCCTTGTCCCTGTGTCCCTGTCCCCTTGTCCCTGTGTCACCTGTCCCTGTGTCCTTGTCCCTGTGTCCCTGTCCCTGTGCCTGCTGTCTCTATGTCCCTGTCCCTGTGTCACCACAGTCCCTGTGTCACCTGTCCCTATGTCCTTGTCCCTCTATCACCTGTCCTTGTGTCCCTGTCCCTGTGCCCCCTGTTCCTGTGCCACCACAGTCCCTGTGTCCCTGTCCCTGTGCCTGTCTTGGAGTATGAGGAGGAGGAGTTCCTGGTGCCTCCTGTCCCTGTGTCCTTGTCCCTGTGCCAGTCCCAGAGCAGTGAGGGGGAGGAGAAGGAGTTCCTGGTGTTTCTGTGTCCCCTTTTGGGGAGATCTCACCTGGGGAAGTCGGGCAAAAATCGGGGAAAACAGAGGAAATTGGAGGAAAATCGGGGGATTTGGAGAAGAAAATGGTGAAATTGGTGGAAAGCGGGTTAAATTTGGGTTGGAAACGGGGAATTTGCTCTGGTCTAAAGGGCTTCCCCCCCCCCCCCAGTTCCAGTCCCATCAGATCTTCCACGTGCTGGTGGTGGCCGCAGCCTTTGTCCACTTCTACGGGGTGTCCAACCTGCAGGAATTCCGCTACGGGCTGGAAGGGGGGTGCACAGACGACTCCCTGCTCTGAGGGCACCGCCTGCTTTTAGTCCAAGCTTTCCTCAAGTGCTTTTTAAACTTTTTGTCTTTGCTCAGATCCAAGGAAGACTCAAAAACTGGGTTTGGGGGTTGCTGGTGGGGGTTTTTTGTTGTTCTTTGGGGTTCTTTTTTTTTAAGAAACGGAGAAATCCTTTAGGAAAGTCATCGACCAAATCTTCACCCCCTCCCCTCAGTGGGGTCTGGGGGGGTTGGGGGCTCCCCCAGGCCGGGTTTAGCTGCACTGGGGGCTCCCCCAGCACAGGGAGCAGCTGCTGTTCCCGCCCAGCCGAGCACATCCTGCTCCTCACCAACCCCACATATCCCCCCGGGAATTCTGCGGCTCCTGGGGCAGCTCCCGGGGCACAGAGCGTGTAATTTAAAATTTAATTGTCCTTTTTTTCCGTTTGTTTTGTTTTTCCTTGACCATGTAAAGAGAAAGGAAAGGGTATTTAATATTTAAACCGAGCTTTAAAGGTGCCCCCTCGGCCGGGAGGGGCAGGGGGGGCTGGTCTGGGAATCAGAGCTGCTGTAGAGACAATAAAAGGTCACTGGTTCAGTGTCACCCGGGCCTGTCACTGTGTCACCCTTTCTGTGCCACCCCCTGGGGGGGGACAGAAGCAGCTGCTCAGGGGGCGTGGGGGGCTCTGGCACCCCCAGAGTGGGGCAGGGGGGTCTGGACTGAGCCAATAAACTGGGATTAACTGGGAATTCTGGAGGGTTGTGGTGGGGATGGAGCAGGAAAATCCCCCCTGGCTGGGGCAGCCCTGGGAGGGGAATTCCCTCTGGGATCAGGGGCAGGAGGGGGCACAGCCGGGGCAGGGCCCTGAGCGGGGCTCAGAGACCACTGAGGGGGCAGAGCCCAGCTCAGTAAAGCCCAGCTCAGGCAGCTGAAGGCCACTGCTTGTGGCAGGGCTGAGCGTGGGCAGGGCAGGGCCACCACGGCCACTGTGCCCCTGGCCCTGTGCCACCACAGCCCCTGGCTCTGTGCCACCTGGGCTGAGCCTGACTAATCCTGCATCCCTGTCCTACCCAGGCTGAGCCCAGCTGATCCTAAACCCCCTGTCC